GCTAGAATGGCTCTTAACATGTGGAGGTGGGAACTACTTTATTTGCTTGAGGACAAGGAAAAGCTTAAGTTTTGGGGAGTTGATAAGTGGGAATTTTGACTATTTATTAGCGCCATTTAGCTTTCGTTTTAGTCCAAAGCTCTTAATTTTGTCACCGAAAACTGATAAAATATGCCTAATTACAGGAATATTGGAAGATGAGCTCCCAAGATGAAATCCAACTCAAGAAGAAGTAATCTGAACTCAGGAACAAAAACATCACAAAAGCTCAAAGTGCGGACCGCAAAATACCATTTGCGGCAGCAGTTCATGAAGCAATTTCATCAGAGAAGGTTGCAAGATGCGGACCACACATGAAATTGTGTGGCCGCAGAAGCTGGGTCAGAGTAAAAGTTCAGAGAACCTGCACCTCCAGTCAAACTCAAGTGCGGACCGCACAATTATTATGCGACCGCAAACATTATTGTGCGGACCGCAGAAGAACAAGGTGCGGCCGCAGACATTATTGTGCGGACCGCAAAAAGAGGGCAGTACGGCCGCACTTCATTATTATGCGGTCGCAGATTTCCAACCTTTTCAAGCTGAAACAAAGTGCGGACCGCACATGAAATTGTGCGCCCGCAGCATATCCAAAAGGGCATTTTTGTCTGAAAATTCTAGCTCTGTATAAATAGAAGAGTTTCACTTTTTTTAGGTTAACTTTTGACATCATCAACCACTCTAGACGTTTTCTTTTGCTCTTTTTAGTAGTTTTTGCTATTTTGAGCTATTTAAATATTGATTTTATAATTTTAATTATTAATATGGGTTTAATTATCACTTCTTCTTCTTTTTCTTCTAATTTAAGCATGAGTAGCTAGATTCTTACTAGGGTTGTGACCCAAACTTAATAGGTGTTTGATTTATTGCTTGTTTATGGTTGGTTATTGATTATCTAGCCTTGTTCTTGCTTTTATTTGAAGAATTAATGGTTGTAAATATTATTTCACGCCTTTTTGACTTGGTCTCTACTTGAGAAAGAGAGACTTAGTCTAGAAAAACTTGGCTAGCAAGAAATTAGGTAAATCGAGAGATTGATAAGCCCAATAAAAGGGTTGAACCTAGAGATAGTAAAACCCGACTTGAGCGTATTATCAACTACTTTGTTCAAATACTCATTTAGGCTTGAGAAAGCCAAATTGAAAAAAATCACTCTCTGGCCGAGAGGTTTTGAGTGGCTACTTAAGTGTTGATAGCTATAATACACCTCGACCAATAAAACAAGCTTTAAAGTTTACAACCCATTAAGTGAATACCTAGGTGAAGGTCATAGCCCTAGGTCTTTTTATCATTTGAAAAACAATCAAAAACAATTTTCTAGTTTCATTCTTTAAATCGCAACTGTAGTCTAACTTAGATTTCCAAACAAAACCCAGTATTGCGGAAGTGCAAATTAAGATATACAAACTCACGCGCTAAGATATATACTACTAACACCCATTCACATAGCTCCCTGTGGAATTCGACCTCGACTCTGTTGGATATTATTATTGCATCGACCGTTTTCATATCCTCAAATAGAGGAGTGAAATTGGACGAGATTAATTTTTGGCCCGTTTTTAGAGAGGATTATGGACAGAAGGAGGCAAGAACACACTAGGAGCAAGGTGGAGAATGCTTCTACGAGTTTTTCACTTCCTTCTTCCTATTTTCATTATTGGTTATGAATTCTAATATTGCAGTTTTGCATACTATTATGAATAACTAATTTGTTATCTAGGGTTTTGATGGAACATTTTGAAGGATGAATTTTTATTACGTTTTTATATAATTGAGTCGTTGGATTTCTCTACTGGTTCAACTACGTGTTTATTATTGTTGATTGAATGGCCATCAATTGACTGTGCCTATTTTGTATGTATTGCTTGGAAAATGGTACATGTTTAGGTAGTTGTTGAACAAGATCACTCCTAACATATGTGAGGAATCAATACGGAAGGTTTAAAGGAGGTGGGATTAGGAATAACGAAACCTTGGTGCGATCTTAGTGAGCGGTCAATTAGTGCCAGCTAGCGTAGTTCGGAAGAATATGTCTAGTAAATTATTATAGTTGCTCGGAAGAGAATTACGACACCCGAAGTACTCATGATCGGTAGAGAATATTTAGGCAAAATTATAGAAAACGTAGCGGGAAGAATTCCGATAATCGGAAAAATCATAATTCTAGACCTCCTTAGTCTTGTTAGTTGATAATTTTACTACTGTTTGTATTCGTTAATTACTTAGTTTAAAATAAAAATTACAATCTTTATAACTAGAAAACTATTTAAACTTGTATTTCTTAGCAATACTGAACCATTGTAGCTAAGCCTTAGTTCTCTGTAGGATTCGACTCCGGACTTTTAGATCGGATTGTATTTGTAGTGACCGCTTATCCTTTTTAGGACTAGAGTTGTAATTAAATTGAAACTTGAGTATGGAGGGTAATAAGGTTTCAAATAGTGTATAGGAAGGTAAAAATCCATATTCACAAATGTATGAAATTTGTTGATATATAATTGTTAATATTCAAAAATCCCTCTTCTCAAGCGAGGGATTTATATATCTTTGTAAAAAAATAGTAAAAAGATAGTATAGAAAGGGATTTTTTTCCTTCTTGTAACATTTCCCTTCCAATAAATACTATCTTTTTACATAAAGTTGTTGATATGTATCAAAATTCTTTTAAGAGAGTAAGTTTTGATTGGAATTTTAGAGAGGAAGAAGCATAAAATATATACAAAAGACATATTGTATAAAATTTGTATAAAAATTGTATTCAAGTTCTATGATATTGTAGTTGTATTTAACCGGGTAAAAATAATGTATGAAAGTTGTAGATAAGTTATAAATAAGTTGTATAAGGAGTAATATATAATTAGTTGTATGAAATTTATTTTTACTGTGTATGTTGTTGTAGATATTCAAATTTGCATTAAATTTGTACGAAATTTATTTTTAATTTGTATGTTGATGTACCATATATTGTTCTTAGAGATAGATATTTTATGTGTTTAGTTTGAATATAAATATGTAATGAAGTTTAGATTCATTAGAAGTTCTCTTTTAGATTATGCTGATGAATAATTGTTAATTCCTTGGAAAACATAATTATTGTGATTTAGTAGTGTAAGTGTTCTGTAAAATGCCAAGCTTAAAGTAATCCAACATGTCACTCATATCGACGCAAGTATCATTAATATGAGGTCCTATAAATAGAACCATGAGTATTGAACTATCATCCATTTTAGTTGGTTGCATATCTTGCTGTCGAGGTTTGGGATCCTCTTGTGGTTTTTGCTTCATCGACATTATCGAAGTCTATAAAACGGAAAAGAGAAACAATTCCACGCTTATTGAAATTCCAAAAGAGGAAGCTACGTGGCGGCGGCAGCACCGAAACAGAATATGATAACCATGGAGTATTTGTATTGGTATTGGTAAAGATGGTTGAGGAGACAAAAAGACCAACATGCATTAGCCGATAAATATTCTGGAGAGAAGAGGGGAGAGAGGAGAGAAAAAAGAAAAAAATGTATAACTAAATCCCTTGATTGAAGGCACTAATAATGGATTGGGAGCCTTTTAAGGTGAAATGTATATAATTTGTAAGTAAACCTTATTTAGGGCGGTTAATATATAAAATTAGAATAGTTTTGGTAAATAAGTTTCAAATATTGTATATGAACGAAAAAATACCTTGTGAATATTTCCCTTTCCTTTTCAAATGTCCAATGCTAAAGCAAATTTAAATTTTGGGTTTTTCTAAAGCAAAATAAAAGCCCAAGATTCCCAAGTTGGATTCTTACTTTAGCCACTGTTTTAAATGTATTTACTCTTTAGTTAGTGCTTAATAATTTTTTACTCACCCGGACAAAAATATCCATGTGCTAGACATGGGTGTTGTGTAAATATTAAGGACATAGTGTCCTTAAATTCATGAGTTTTGTGTAAATATTAAGGACAAAGTGTCATGTATTTGCACCTTCTGCTGTTTAAACTTTAGGACATCATGTCCTTAACTTCATATGTGCAGTGTAGATGTTAAGGACATATTGTCCATGGGTGATGTGTAAATATTAAGGACATAGTATCCTTAACTTCATGAGTGTTGTGTAAATATTAAGGACAAAGTGTCCTGTATTTGCACCTTCTGCTATTAAACTTTAGGACATCATGTCCTTAACTTCATATGTGCAGTGTAAATGTTAAGGACGTGGTGTCCTTAACTTCATGTGTGCAATGTAAATGTTAAGGACATAATGTCCTTAACTTGTATTTGTAACTTTTGTTGTTAAACTTTAGGACACCATGTCCTTAACTTCATATATGCAGCGTAAATGTTAAGGACATAGTGTCCTTATCTTCATGCGTGCAACGTAAATGTTAAGGATATAATGTCCTTAACTTGTATTTGCAACTTCTCTTGCTAAACTTTAGGATATCATGTCCTTAACTTCATATGTTGTCCTTAACTTCATGTGTGCAATGTAAATGTTAAGGACATAATGTCCTTAACTTGTATTTGCAACTTCTTTTGTTAAACTTTAGGACATCATGTCCTTAACTTCATATGTGCAGTATAAATGTTAAGGACATGGTGTCCTTAACTTCATGTATGCATTATAAATGTTAAGGACATACTATCCTTAACTTTATGAGTATTGTGTAAATATTAAGGATATGGTGTCCTTAACTTCATGAGTGATGTGTAAAATATTATGGATATAGTGTTCTTAACTTCATGATTAATGTGTAAAGTATTAAGACATGATTTGTCCTTAATATTTACACAACACTCATGAAATTAAAGGACACCATGTCCTTAATATTTACACATCACTCATAAAGAAAGGGTAAAAATGACTTTTTGTATCAATTTTAATAGAGTAATGGCTATTTTTACTCAATATTAAAAATACTGGCTAAAACATAAATACCACTTAAAAAAGTGACTATATCACGCCATTTCTTGTTAAATGTCGAGCCCAAAGGCCCAACTGAAGAAAAGAAAGAGGGACTTCAAGTTATCGACCGCCGTCGGCCGTCAACCGTCGCCGTCTGCCGGAGTAGTGTCAGGTTCTGGCATATTTTTTGTATCTTTATATCTAAATTCAAATACAATACAGTTCAGTTTTTTTCTGGGTATTGGTTCCCTGAGACTATTGTTTACTTTTTGCTGTATTTGGTACTCCATATTTGAAACATGAGCTAAAGAGTGTTTGTGTGTGTATGTGTGTTAAAGTTTAAGGTTTTCATCTTTGAGGATTACTTTTTGCTGTAGTATCTCTGAAAGTAATTAATTTGTACTCTGATGCTAATGTTTAGTTCATTGCTTAATTTAATTTTGTTGTTTACTTCAATGCCTAAGAAAATTTTGATATCTATGTCTTGCCTCTGATGGTCATGTCCTTACTTCACTAACTGCTATTTATTTTTTATTGCTCTATGGACAAATTGATTGTTTTGCAGTTTTGCGTAAATCAGTTCATGTTTATCTACATGCATTTGATTAATTGCAGACTGATATCTTGGGTTTTGGATTTCAGTCTACCTTATTTTTTTTCTTGGTGGAGGGCATTTTGTGTATTGACCTCAGAATGCAAACCTTCGCCAACCTGGTGTGATTTTAAAGGACAATATAGTTTTAAATTTTAAATAACTCTTAGGCTCGAGCCTGTCAAACTCAATGGACAATGTGTAACTTTTGAAAAGAGAGGTCGCTGAATAAGTTGATAGGTTTTGGCAAAACTAGGTTCGCCACATAGGTTTGTTGAAATTCCAATGAGAAAAAACAGGTTTCAGTGACATTTATAACTTAACATAAATCTCTTGTTTCAATCCAATTGTAGCAGCATCTGGAATGGCCAACAGCAAGTATGAATACGTAAAGTGTTTTGAGGCGGAAGACGAAGTAATGTACCCAAATATCATTGTTGTTCAAATTGATGGCCGCGAATTTGGCAGGTAATGCAATATTTGTGGTGTGCATGTGCCTTGTTATGTTCTTTTCTTCTTGATATATGAAGCCTTAACTTATTGATTAAGGTAAAGGTGTTGAAATCAAGAGATCTACAACATTATATTGAAGTATAGGTCGGTGTTCAAGTTAAATGCTGATGTGGAATTATGTCGTGGTTCTTGTCAATTGNGTATTAGAGAACTTCTCTGATGTTATATTTGCATATGGATTTAGTGATGAGTACAGGTATGATGCGTTTATTACTATTTGACAATTATGCAATTTTTCTTTTCCCATTGAAAAGCTTGACAATGTGGTACAATAATTTATGTAGTTTCGTCTTGAAGAAGGAAACCACCTTTTACCAGAGGCGAGCGAGGTTTGTAACCTATTTCATAGCCCAAAATTTATGTTATCTGTGTTTATCAAAAAATTATTTTTGGCTCTTTAGAATGAGTGATTTGAATGATGCACTTTGTTTTGTTTGTGTTCATATATCACGTGCATAGTACACCATTGCTCTTGCATTGGCTCTTGTTTGAGTAGCAATATAACTATACTTGTTTACTTTCATATATCGTGTCAGCATGCTCTTTTCTTTTTTTCCCGAAATATACCAACAACCTGTCATTATCTCAAAATTAATTGACACATTTGACCTGGCACTGACGAACTGTAATAGAGTTATTATATAACCAGTCTCTAACAGTGAAGGTAATTGAATTATGCTTATGGATTCTGTTGGATAATCCAACCTTTCTTTGACTTGTATCATGAGGCATTTAAGGGTGAATTTTAGAATCTGCTAGCTATCCATTACTGATATTCCGCTTATCTTTTATTGATCTCCTCCATTATGATTTGTTAATACATCTTGGATAATTTATCCACTCTCTCTCTTCCCCTTTCTCTATCTTTCTCTTAACCACCTATTTCTGCACCGGTCTGCCCTGTCTTTTCGTTCCCCTTCTTTAGCATGATTTAACTGATCTATTTGATGTCTACCCATCTCATCTTCAGAGTTTTATATATATATATATATATATATATATATATATATATATATATATATATATGTATATTCCATTTTTTAGACCTTGCTAATGAGAAGGAAAATCATCTCCAACTCGCTAAAGACACTTGTTGTAGCTTACTTGAGGAAGTGCTTAGTAAACAGTATTAGGTAAAATTAGGGATTGGTCACCAAACTTTTCTTAAGAAGGCACTAGGAGAATCTTAAGGCATGGTCACCTTTTTTGTCCACTCATTTGTCTTCTGACTAAGATGACAACACTAGAAATATGTTTTTGTTTTTCGAGAAACTTAACTGGATTAAGTAAAATGGATTATAAGATACAAAATGTCCCCCTTGTTTTATTCTGGATGACAAGCAAAAGTGAGATATGTAAAATAGTCCTAGTTTTCGCATTTGAGATGAAACTGTTCATGGTTTTCCTTAGCTGACCAGAAATTTGACTGTGCAGCAAAATACTCTCCATTATTGTGTCTTTCTTCTCATCTACATTTGTAACCAAATGGAAAGAGTTCTTTTCTCAAAAGGAGTTAAGTGTGCCTCCATCATTCCATTCACGAGTTATCAGCTGTGCATCAATGGAGGTTCTTCAGGCATATCTTCTATGGAGACAAACAGAATGTGAGTTCACCTATGGAATTTCTCCAATTTATAATTACTGGGTATGTGGGGTGTTGGGATAAGATTTGATGCTAAAGAATATTGGTTCTTCTTACAGGTCATACAAGCAATCTATACAATACTTGTTTGTGGAAGCTGGTGTTTTCTGGAAAGTCAGAAAAAGAGGCCAAAGAGATTCTTAAGGTGCTTACTTAAGTTTGGCTGTAAAAACTTGAATTGTTTCCTCAATACAATGACATGCTTAAGATTTACGATTTGTTCCTCAAATATTCTTCTTCTTCATTTTTAAATTTTATTCAATATTACATAAATATAATGTTAAAAGCATATAACGAAGAAAAGTAGAATAAACTCAAAAAAAAAAAAAGAAGCTTCGACTGGCCCCTAACTGGCCCACTAGTGGCTCACATAGTGGTAAGGGATTGTGGGTTGAGGTCAGGCCCTCTCCACGGGCCAGAGACCAAGTGGGCCGGTCTTGGTCCAGGCCGGGTCACTTGCCAGATATTGTAACAGATTGTTATTAAATGCTAGTATCTAAGGAAAGCAATTACAAGCATATAGTGGCTTCTTATGCATAAAGCAAGATGCTTATTACAGAAGGTCTTAAAAGGAATAGTTATACGTGAAAAGAAAACGCTATGAAAGCTTCCAGCAAAGGTTTCTGGAGTGATAGCTCTGATTCATATCTGCAATCTCTTATTGATTGCATATCTATAGATTGTTACCTTGTAAACATGTGTATTGAACTTCTTTCAAAAAATGTCAATACATGCATTTGTTGAGAAGTGTTCTTAATTCATTAAGCTACTTTTTTCCAAATTTTGCTCTTTACCATATGTCATTTGGATGAACCACGTTACATGACGCTAACTAATAGTAGACTTGGGGCCAAAGTTTTGGATTCAGAGATTCTAAGTTATAGGTCAAGATCACAACATGCACGAGTCTTTTCCTCTATTTGTATTTAAAGAATGTACAAAAGGATTTCCCAATCTTTAATTCTTTTTCCACTTCCCGGGCAATTTGAGTTTGCATTATGTGATATGCTTTCAATTAGTCAATTCTCGTACGCAGATATATGATGTGGTCCTTACAACATCGCAATAGATGAATTATGGCCTCCCTAATCGTTTACATATTTTCTTTCCACTTAAGCTTTCCTGGTCTGTCCCTTTGTATCATAAGGGTGCTCTAAGGCAAGTCTCCTCCCCTTAGCACAATCTTTGTGCTTATGAGTTTTATGTATAAATGTCATCTTTCTCAAAAAGAAAAAGGGTGCTTTAAGGCAAGTTTTCTACCCTCATACTTTCTGAACTCGAGGCTTGATGGTGTTGTTACTATGTGAATAGGGAACACAAAAGCAGGAGAAAAATGAATTACTCTTTCAGCAGTTTGGTATCAACTACAAGGACCTTCCACAGATTTTTCGTCAAGGGTCTTGTGCCATCAAGATAAAGGTAGCTACCTTCATCCCGCTTCTCCTAGAAAAGTATATATCTGTATAAGCATGCTGGTGTATGCGCCACTACCCCTTTTTTTGGTTTCTCCTTTTCAAATCTTAAAGATATGGAGATAAAGATGGCATTTGGATTTTGAAAAACACTTTTTTTAAATAATAGATGTGTGGTTGGTTTTGGAAGATTGGTTATAGGGGTAAAAAAAGAGAATGGATTAAGAATTTTAAAAAGTTGAGGCAGAAGAAATGATTTAAAATAGTTTTGATGTTTTCCTGAGGGAGGGATGGGTGGTTTTGCTGGAGTGGTGCCTTCCTGACGGTAGACCCAAGGCTTTCCAAAAACAAAATATAGAAACCAAGTTGGAGACAAATATGCTTTCAAGAGCAGACACTTCTGTTTTTGTCTGAGTTTGCTAACAATCTTTCCCTTAGGACCACATTTTGGTTTTAAATTCTTCTTTCTTTCTTTCTTTCTTTCTTTCTTGCAAAAGGCCTATAATTTTAGAGGAATGATCTGTTTTTTTTTTTGGAATTTAAGTTTATTGACTTCAAATTACCATGTTAATCTACTAGCCCAGTTAAATGTATGCATGAAAAAGGGCAAAGCGAGTAGTAATTGAATTCCACAGTCTGAGCCTTGGTGAATCATCTTATTTGTTGTGCTTTTTCATGTAGCAGTAATGTGTAGCTCTTATATCTTGATATAAAATGACATATGCACTAAAGGACTCTTTTGTTGAATCCTCTCAATCATAAAAAGACCGATGCTTGCTCTATGCTCACCCATGAAAAATTCCCCCACTAGAGGGGTAGGAAAGGAAGAGGGGAAGGTATACGCGGTGCAGTTTGTTCATCACTATGAGGGGGTACTTCATATTATGTTTCTTCCCGTCTACTTTTTCTTTTTTATATTTATCCATCTTAATGCAGGTGGAAGATATTGTGAAATACCGAGAAAATGGCACTCCTGTTAAAAGACCAAGGAAGAAAGCAGTCATAGTTCACTCCGAAAATATAGCAACAAAAGGCTTCTGGAAGAACTACTCATTCCTTACTGAGGAACTTGGTTTGCTTGCAGAAGGCATTAATAAGATTAAACCTGAGTATTTGAGGTCTTTCCAATTTGAAAGCAAGCTGATGTTATCTACTTGGATTGTAGTCCGGATAGACGGTTGTCATTTCCACAGGTAAATTGTACCTATATTTCTACCCAATGATCTTCACTATTACTAACTACAGTAATTGTTTTATGACTTTTTGCTCGACTTGCAAAGAAGTGTTGACATCATTCTTTTTGATTTATTGTTGTCCTTGTCTTTGTTTCCTTTTCCACTCGATACATTTGCTTCAAATCCCAAGTTCCATGTCAAAGTGATGTGGCATGATTCTTGCTTATTTTCATAGAGTATGAGAATTTATAGGTAGTATGTATTTTCTGGATAATGTAATCCATGTTTCAGTGGGAGTTGGTTTTTCTTATATGCCTATTTTCTTTTTCAAGTATGGATTTCTAATTCCGGATTAAAGAAGAAACTCCAAGCATATCCTAAGTTAATTTTCTATTATGTCCTGGAAACAACTGCAGTTGTTCAAAACATTCTTGGTTGTTGCCAATAACCCTTAAAATGTATCAGACACAAGATCATGGTTATAATACATGTATATATATAATTTCACTAATATAAAGTCATGTATGTCTAATATTGAGCATGTCATTCGTGAAATATAGTTTGGAATTGCTGGTTTCCTGATCTTGACTGATTGATTGTAGGTTTTGTGAAGATAATGGTTTTCAGAAGCCAAATGATGAGCAGGCACTAAATCTTATGAACTCATGTGCGGTTTCTTTGCTAGAGATGTTTAAGGATATTATCTTTGCATATGGGGTGAGCGATGAATATAGGTATTAGTTCCTTTAACATCTTTGATTCACTTGTAACATAACCGTTTCCTTTTATAGTTTATCTTAAGAGATTAATTTTTTCTTTCAGTTTTGTTTTGAAGAAAGGATCTCTATTATATCAGAGGCGGTCAAGGTAACTCCTTCATCACCGTTCGTAAGTTCCTTGGGAAGTGTAGTGGTTAGCTAAAACCACATATTAAGAGGGAACCAACTGGAGATTGGAAACAAATTCTTCTTCTTGTTTCTAGAATCCATGGTGCATATAGATTATTCTATGTCATATTCATCCCCTGAGGGAAGAAATTGCAGGGAAGGGTGTACCCAAGGGTGCAGCCTGGTGAGAACTTTGGAGTTAGGGTTCAAATTCCAGCAGAGACAAAAATACTAGGTGATTTCTTCCATCTGCCTAACCCTTGGTGGGCATAGTTACCCGGTACTTGTACTAGTGGAAGTTAGCAGGTACCTGGTGGAATAGTTGAGGTGTGGTCAAGTTGGCCTGGATACCACGTTATCAAAAAAAAATGTAGAGGACATAAAATAAGCAACTCAGCTACAGTTGCCAACCTGCGAGCATAATACGATTATCTGTGAACAACATGCTAGAAGATCCTGAAAATTCATTTCTTGTACACAATGTCAGTTTTGTCAGAATGTGTCCTATAAAATGCTTGGCTTGTCTGAGTGGTGAAATTGCCCTTCTAGAATATTTTGCATTTGTAGCAAATCTCTGATGTACAGCAATTTCTCGAACCATTATCACTAAATTGGTTAAAGTTTCAGTGTGAGTCTATTTTGCCACTGCACAAGGGCAATCCTCAATTAATTTGCCTAATGTTATTGTATTGACTTTCTTTTTGATCGGTAATATTAAATGTTATATTAACTTGCTCTTCCGATCATCATTTCAGTGAAATCGTTTCTGCCATTGTATCTCTTTTCTCTTCCATGTATGTGATGAAGTGGAAAGAGTTTTTCCCTGAGAAAGAGTTTAAAGAACCACCTTATTTTGATGGTCGATGCGTTTGCTATCCATCATCTGAGATTCTTCGAGATTACTTGGCTTGGAGACAAGTTGATTGTGAGTACTTCCTATTTTATTTGTTATTTTAAAGAATTTCGCAAATTAATCAGGTTTATATGAAGAAATTTTTGTGTTCTTCTTGATGCCAAGCTAAAGAACGAACTGTACCATATTAACAATCCAACTTTAATACCTTGACTTGTAGGTCACATAAACAATCAGTACAATACTTGTTTTTGGCTGCTTGTTAAGTCTGGAAAGAGTAGAACTGAAGCGCAGAGCTCTCTGAAGGTGTGGAATCTCATTTCTAATTTATAAAGCAGGTCTTTTGTTTCAGATGAAGTAGCATGATCTTATATAATGTGTGTTTCTCTGGAAAATATTTTATTGCTGCTTAAATCTAATGGATCATCTCTTTTACGTCATTTTATGTTAAAGAGAAATAATTTCAACATCCAATACAAGCTTCACTTGCGTTACTTTTGATCTATCTAGCTTACAAGCCTATAGAAAGTAGTACAAGCTTCTTCTTTTTTCCAGCATGCACATTATTGATGCTGAAGAAATGATCCTCTAAATTTGTGAGACATAAATTGTAAAAAATGACATATTCTTGCCTATGCCATCTTTCCTTTTTCATGGACTGATGACTCTAAATCTCTGAATCCCAATTGTTTATTGAAAAAGACCATTTGTTGCCTTTGATACATTCCTTTTCTGACATTAATCAACTTAATAAGCTGTATAACGTATTGCGCTACATCCATTTATTATCAATTTTGTTTGCCATATCTCCGCCTTGAAGAAAGTAGTTTTGCCGCCTGTGTTAGTGATGAAGTATCGCCACATTTGTTGGCATCACACATTTTCTGCGTTTAATGGCCGGAATGCTTTGACTGGAAATACATTCAGCAGTAATACGCCCACTTGGTTTGGTGGTAGATGTATTACGAGTTATAAAAAATGTGATGTATAGTTCTTTGAGTGCCGTTCCTGCTTATAGTACAGTCAGGAAGGGAGCGTTCAAAGACGCAAACACTTCTTAAGCCAGGAGAGAGTAGTCGTTGAGAAATTGGATATCTTATGATCACAAGAAGTAAAGGAGTGGAAATGATAAGGGGGATGCAATACTTTAGTTAGTGTCTCCAGTTGGGCAATATCTTTTTTTTAACCTAGCACGTAGCGAGGACTAAACTTTTTGAAAGGTAAAGTAAGAATCTTGTTCTAGCTAGCACTATCTTCGGCTATTGTGGCATATATCTGTTGGAGAAAGAAACACACTTAGTTATGGCAATTGAGACTTACAGAGATGAGATTCTGTTAAACATAGAGGTGGACATACTATGTGAACTCTATTGGCACTGAAACCTCAGTTCCTAAAGGTAACTGTTTTCGTCTAGGAGATTTTGACAAATTACAGTGTACATTAATAATCTTTTGACTTGTTTAATTTGACTCTGTAGAAATCGACCGCACACTCAAATATATACTCAAACTTTGATTTAACCTTGATAAATCAGTAGATCTGTTACTTCCATATCTGTCATCCTGTTCTGATCAGATATAAGCAGGTATGCATGATATTAATCTTGATAGTCCAATGACCATAAGATTCTGTTTTGTTCTGCAGGGTACCCAAACTCAGGAAAAGAATGAATTGCTTGCCCAGTTTGGCATTGATTACAATGCGCTACCGATCATGTTTCGGATGGGTTCCTCTGTTTTCCAGGACAAAGTAAATCTCTCTCTCTCTCTCTCTCTCTCTCTCTCTCTCTCTCTCTCTTTGCTTGAAGTACTTTATCTTATGTTTGATGATATTATAGACCAAGCCAGAATTCCTTTTGTTTTGGCCTTCCACCGCCATACGGATATAATAAACTGTATGCTCAAAAGGTTTTGTTGTGAATAAATTAGGTCTGGCATCACTTGTAAACAACTTGAATATTACCTTAAGAAGTGGCTTTTGGTTCTTGTCATTAATGTAATAATTAATCCATCACGAGCATGTTTCAATCAATCAGATGTTTCAATCTCAATTGTGTAAATTTGTTTTTAGTCTCATGTATTCTTCACATTCAGAAGCTACACTCGGCACACAGGTTTATTCGCGATATGTACCATTGCTTTGACTTTTGGTGCGGATCAGACTGGTGAAATGGGTGTTCACTTGTTCTTATATCTTCTTTTTTGCTTTTTAATGCAGGATGAACTAACTGGAAATGACAAAGTAGTTGTTGAACACTGTAATATAATTGACACGAGCTTTTGGAAAGAACATCCAAGAATACTTGACGAGGAGGAGCCATTGCGGACGATTTTGCGGCCCCATAGCAATAAAATGCTTCGAGTGTCTTGAAGTTGAAAGAGGAGCTGCTCCCTAAGTTATAACCATATTTAGTTTTCATTAGATCAGAAAAATAGTTTCAAAATTTGTCAGATATGCAGATTAGCCAGCTGCCTTTGATTATTCCCTTTACTCCTTTTTTTTCTTCTAAAGATTTGTATAGCAAAACACTCCAGTATATTTCTATTCACTCAGAACATGTAGTAGACAAGATTTTGTGTTGTATCAACTTCAATATTTATGTCAGCAATGGTTATTGATGACTCGAAACCTGTATTTGTTCTCACCTTCTTAATATACAGTTGGGAAAACAAGCATAAGTAATATGTCACTATTTGTAAAATTGGAAACGCAGGTCTAATCAGAATTAGCCTTCCATTCTTTTTGAAGTACATCATCATAAGGAAGGTAAAAGAAAACAAGAAGGTAAATTGAAGGATGATAACGTAAGTGGCAGGAAAGTTAAAAACATCCCTTAATTATGTGCAACTAAAAAAGGTCATTTACTTAATGAGCACTATATTTTGCAAGAACATATCTCTACAACTTTTTACTTGAACTCCATCTGGTTTAAACAGGATGTAACAACAGCCATTAACCATGATTGACCTATCAATCAACTATACAAAATACAAGTTTAGTTTTAACAAAAAATTGCAGGCTCCTATACTGAAGCATGTGTCCTGCCCTCTTGGACTTCAATCTTAGAATGCAAACTTGACCCCTCCGGAAGCCCCAATGGTGGACCTTCACATGAACAATTATCAACATTGAATAGCTCCCACTCTTTGATGCCACATCTATCCAATGCAGATACCAACCTTTCTTTTTCCCTCTCAGCTGGATATTGGCCATCTGGGCTCACAAGAACTGCCCCGGTATATGACTGCCCCGCCACTCGTGCAGCTCCATGATAGTGAAACAAACCCCAGCTTAAATCATCAGAAACATCCACAATTGTCCACGACTCAATTGAAACAACTCCATTATCCAATACACTGAATTGAAATGTTCCGGGAACTTTTCCTCTTTTCACTCTATACTTGCGCCTTCTCCAGACTAAGTTATCTTCAAGTGTTCTTACCTGGAAAACTGGCTCATACCAGAATGATCCTCTAGCTTTTCCCCGATAGTATAGCTGGTACTGGCATGGAAATTGATCATAAGCTGGATTCTGCCCTGCTACAACGCGCCAACTCCAATTCAATGTCCCTAACCAACCCACAAAAAGGTCCTCAGCTATTTCAGAAGACAATATTTCCCCTCGAAACTCGGTCATTGGAGGCACATAAGGTTTTTCAGGGATCTTTGCGTCGAGCTCAAGACAGTTATTCTTCTGTAGTACACAGAGAGAAAACTCTTCCAGGTATTGACTCTCATATGAAGCAATACACCGATAATTGCATACTTGATCTACAGGGCTGCACTGGTTCAAGCACTGAAGTGCCTTCCTACAATTAGGATCCAGTAGACAATTCAATATCTGAGGTCCGCAATTTGTCACCATGCAGTTCAGGGTGGAGAATCCTTTTGCTCTAAGGTTCTGCAGTGTTGAAACCGGTGTTATATAAGAATTAATTATAACTAATAAGCAGAACCGTATGTCATCAGCGTTATGCCTTTCCCAAGCCTCAGATACTGTTCGAACTATCTCTACAGATTCATTCATTTTCTTAGATTGAGAGAATGGAAGTAAACTGCTGAATATGTCTCCTCTTTTTTCAGTTTCAATCAAAATTCCGCCCAGCTTGTTTCTCAGTGCCGAAGAGGAATCAAAGCATATGGTATTTGGGACATTCTGGCTGTTAGTCTGTATCCAGTTGACTGATCCTTCCTTACTAACAGCAACCAGCACCAAAATATCAGCACGATCCAGCTCATTTCTAACGCGGTTGACAGTTTCATCTTGAGAATTGATAAAGTTGTCAGAAAAGACAATCATTTCAAACTCTTCATCAACCCATTTCAGTCTCTCTGCCTTGCATTTATAAAAGGAAACAAAGTACAATATCATCAACTAATATGTATATTCTCATAACTGTGAAGGGAAGCAATGTTCTCACAATACACAAGCTATTTCTACTCTAATGTCTAATAAGAATCTGCTTGTGTGCATATACATAGAAGGGGGAGAGAGAGATTTTAGAGTAGTGTTTGGGTAGTGCTACAATGAGCATCAGGACCTCCTTCCTACTTGAAAAGTCTCTACCAGAAAATACAAGAGGCCAGAGCTTATTCATAAATAATTGGTCATTTGGTTTTCCACATTGTAGAAGTTGTAGATGCATATTACATTCTTCCCATTTTGCTCCCTGCTATTACATAATACTTTTCGTTTTCTTTTTCTCTGGTAATTACAATGTTTCTGTTCACCAGTTTATCTTGTTATACTGAAAATCTCACAAGTTCCTCTTGAGAGCAGCACAACAAGCAACTAACATTGCTAATCATCAACTTTCCATGATGATGTTACAGTAAAACAGAACTTCAGCTGTCTATCAAGTAGTAATATGTCAAATATTTTATCGCTTTGTTCAGTTTCTTGTTTCTTATTTACTGAAAAAAACTACTTCAAATTGTGAGAGCTTCCTCTTTACTTTCCAATAAGAATATCGAGGAAAGAATAGGTAGAAATGAAAAACACCCTTGTTCTAATCAGGCTGCCACAATGTGCTATTGACAATATTACTCAAAAAGTAAACGGATCTAACAGAATCAGAAAATACTCATCCTCCTTCCCACCTTGAAGAAAAAAGCGAGAAAATAATCTCTAACATCTACAAACTCTTCAAAGCCAGAACTTGGTAAAACACAGTTGGTCTTATTTACTCCAAAAAACTAGAACTCCTTATAAACTAATGACCCTCTTCCTCTACTAATGTGATATTTGAAAAGAAAAAGGTGGATAAACTCCTTAGAATCATCAACCCTTTCCATTGTATACAAAACAAAACACTGAACTTTGAGAAAATTTCAACTCCCCAAGAAATTTGAATTGCACTGCCTCAATTTCAAGCCGTCAACAGCAGCAAAATTATAGTATTTTCTAAATATTATACATCATTTCCAATAATTGTCAGCCCAACATCCAATAATTGTCATTTCCAATTTTGATTTATGGTTCCACATTTCATTTGAGCTAAAGCACCTAATACTCCTAGTTGAAACACATGACACTAAGAATAATTCACACAAAAGAAAAAAAATAAAGAATTTTAAAAACAAAATCCCTAGCACTGAGTTCAAGATTTTAAGCTAGCGTTTGGACATATATTTGGTTGAAACTTGAAAAATAAATTTTTGAAGTTGTGTTAAAAATAATTTTTGGAAGTCGAAGTAGTGTTTGGACATGTATTTTATTTGACAAAAAAGTCGAAGTTTTGTGAGTTGAAGAAATCTTTTCGCTAAACCAGTTTTTGGGAACTTGATAATGTTTTTAATTTTTTTTTTTCAGAAACTGATCAAATCTCATGAACAAACAATGTTCTCAAATTTATTTTGAAAAAAATAGCCAAAATTCAGCCAAACGAATCCTAAAGTAACCGATATGGAATATCAATGTAAAACAAAAAAACAGCCAAACGGATCCTAAATTAACCGATATGGAATATCAATGTAACCACTAATTTCTAACAATATGTACTCATACAGGATTTAAGTTATGTGCACTTACAGTCTAATTAAGTTTTTACACTATCGGTATAATTTAACTTATTATAGTAGGTTATTGTCATTTATTAAAGATTACCGATCAGTGCTATTAAAGTAGTGACTGATTGTGTACATATTTTTTACACTGGCACAAAACTTAAACTCATTAATATATATATTTGTATGATGTTTTAACCCTTTATATATATAGTATATATATAAATTTGGAGTCAAAGACAGTGAATGAAGTTGCAAAATACTCACAGTGTGAAGCATGACATCTAGCCAAGGAGCAGAATTGAGAGGGCTAACACTATCCTCACCAACAATACTCACTATTCTCACTGGACTACTTGTTTTTTTCTCTGCTTCTTTCATTTCCAGAGCAGCAGCAGCTAGTATTCTTCTTGTAGCTCTGATTTTCCGGTCAAGAGAAGAAGAAAAGACGGACACTTTAGTTTTCCGGCAGCGGAGAAGAAGAGGATTTAGAAGTCCGGCGACACTGGACCGCCGGTTAACCGGAAAAGTAGCCGGAGAATTGATGGAGGAAGATGGTGCTACGTTTACATTCATGGTTCGTTATGGTTGTTGAGGGAAATGGGTAAATGGGTCGGGTTTTTATAGGTATAAAAGAATTGAATAAAATGACGTCTATTGTAAGGAATGTATAGGAGTTCTGTGGAAGTCCCTCGATTGATTTGAATATTTAACTGTAGTAATATCTGGATTAGTCGGAAATAGAAATATGAAGTTAAACGTTAAGATAGTTATATAAAAATATTATATTTTTCCTTTTAACTATCAAATATAAAAAAATGTCATTCGCACAAGTTCCTTTTTTTTTTCTTTTTATCCGTTAATCAAATATTAGGAAATAATATATCATGAAAACATTTTGTTAGAAAAATAACACACCTTTGATATTCATACCTAACGGACCCTTTGTTTACATGATTTATTTTGTTGAAACAAACAAAATTTCTTAGTATTCGATATTTATTTTGGGTTCTCACTAATTCCTTAATTGAAGAACCTAAATAGTCGCACACTCAATTATTTAAACTAAAAATAGTCGACGGATATATAAATACGTATAATCATGTATAATCAGTTTATATTTTATATATAACGGTTAGAAAAAGTAAATACTACATTTGGCTTTGAATTTGCTTAAGGCATTAAAGGAAGAAGCGCAAGAAGAAGTGATGACCTTGATCTGTCGATATCGATATTTGATCCCTAAGCTGAGCTCCAAAGTCTCGATTTCTTATTAAAGCTAAAGTAAGGGTAAGATCCCCTTATCAGAATTTTTTCCGTTCAAATATAACAACAACAATAACAACAACCCAGTAAAATTTCACTAATGGGATCTGGAGAGGGTAGTGTGTACGCAGACCTTACCCCTACCTCAAAGAGGTAGAGAGACTGTTTCCGAAAGACCATCGGCTCAAGAAAACAAAAAGACAAAAGGACAAAAGGAGACAATATTAGTATCACCACAATAATCATAGGAAAAATAGGAACACCATGAAATGCATAAGAAAGATGCAAAGCAAAAGCGATAGCTAGTAAATAGGACATGCACTGAAAAGTGAAGTAGTAAAACACAACATTGTCACTAGCTATCTTAGACAAAAATCCTACCTGGCTAGTCCCACTATGGTACGAAGTAAGTCAAGACTCAACTACATCCTAACCTACAACTCTAATACTCGACCTCCACATCCTCCTAGCAAATGAACTATCTATCACACAACAACTCTTGATATTAAATTAAATAGACCCAGATGAAAAGGCCAAGGGTTTATTGGAAACAACATCTCTATCCTCACAAGGTAAGGGTAAGGTCTACGTACACACTATCCTCTCAGACACCATAATATAAAATAATACTGGGTATATTATTGTTGTTGTTGTTAATATGAAATAAATATTATTGCTTTCATCATTCTTTTGTAATGAATAATTCTGACATCCACAAACTCTCTTCAAGATAAGGATGTTGGTCTCATCTGTTCCAAAAACTATAACTCCTTATTTATTTGCAATTTTAGCTATTCTATTTTAATATACTTAATCAAATATACCACTTTTTTCAAATTAAACACTTAAAACACTAGCAAAATTAAATATTGTTCAAATAATATTGTGTAGGCTTTTCATAATATAAAAATATAAGTATATGATTTTAAAATACAAGGAAATATCTGAAAATGAGTCATATTAATATACAAACAGAGGAAATTCATAATTTTCCATGGCGTACAACTTTCAGCCGAGGGAGCTCTTGTTGTTTGAATTTGAAGAGGAAAGGGTATGGACTGTAACCATTTGTCACACCCTTTTCTACCTGAAAAGATATGTATTTTTATGTTATTATAGATTGTAACGGGTTAAAAAGTTTTTTCAATTAAAATGACAAACTTGAATAGAGATTATTTTATTTACAGAGTCAGCCAATTGGAATTGAGTTTTTGGGTGTTCCAAGTCACCTTTTATTCGAATCCCTAGTCAAAGGAAGGTTTGACTCTATTATTATTGGTCTGCGAAAATAAAATCCATGTAAGGAATTCTGTTAACCGGGGAGAAGGTGTAAGGCATTCCCCGAGTCCCGTGGTTCTAGCACGGTCAGTTTATTGACTATATTTAGCTTAAATTAATTTTGAATAAACTGTGATTTATATGATTTTTATGTTTTTTCTATGTCCACTTTTATTGCTTGATTATGGCATTATGGAATTATCTTGAAATGAGTCACGCGTATGTGTACCCATTGATAGCGCTTTTATTATTATTAAGATTGTTCCGTTAAAATGGCGCGAAAGCATATCTTGCCTTCAATTTTGGAAATTGTAATTATGTCACACGAATGTATACATAAATCACGATAATTGATTTATTACTGCGCGCCTAAAGCATACTAGCGATATTTATGAGTGTTCAAATCCTAAGTTTGAAATTATTGTAAAGTCACAAATTATGAAATTTGTTGTGGAGAAGTGTAGCATTTAAATATTATTGTAACTAAAGATATTACTATAACGTCTCTATTATTCCTATAATCAAGTATAGAGATAATCCTAAAATGGAAATGCTTTAAACAACAATACAATCACATCAAGTTAACAAAACAGTAATATAGAGGATATTGTTCAGTAGAGTACAAATTTAAGCACTAAAATATTAATAATAAAGCTTACCAATTTATGATTATCAAAGGAAACAAAAGAATTACAATGAGAGTAAAAGTGGACCTTTACGTCAAAGACTATGACGTCAACACCCTTTGAAACTTTAAAGACCAAAGCCGACTTCGAACCGAAATCAGTGATTGAAAATCTCGCCGGTGATTGAACCTCGATCGAAACTCTAATAACATTGATGATTTAAAGGCTATTTTATGGTGTTGCTATAGCTGGATTTTTTTTTTAGCTTGATTTCAGGTTTAAAAGTTGTAATTTATGGACTATTTTTGTTTTTGCTGGGTTTGGAGTGTTGATTTAGGGACTGCTTTTTGGTGAAAAAATGAGCTGATTTTTAGCTGAGCTCCCAATTGGCTTTTGTGAAGAAGTAGTAGTGTTTGGCAGTGATGTTAAGTTATTGGGTTATGGAGTTTTAGAGTTGATTTTAATAGTGAAAAAATGAGTATTATGAATGATATCTCCGAAGGAAAAAGATAAGATTCATTTGTAGTATATATATTTTTTTTGTGCTGTGTTTTCTTCTCTCTCTACTCTCTGTCCCCAGATCTAACTTTCTCTCTTTTTGCTTCTCTCTCGGATCCCCTCTCTTTCCCCCTCCCCTTTTTGACTTTCCTCCACCTTTTTTGACTTTTTGTTATATGTATAGTAAAATGAAAACTGGGGGAAGGACAAATTAGATTCCTACCCCATGTGAGCTTTTAAAAAGTGGGTAGCCAAATGGAAAAAGTGCATGTGCAAGATTTGTACAAACTTTTCAAGGCCACATAGTTGTGCCACCCTTTCGTTCTTTTTTCTTTTTACTCTTTTTTATTTATTTATTTAGAGATAATAGGTAAATAGTGTAAAATACTACATCTTACTAACCAAAGGATTAAAGTACTAAATATTCAATATTTATTTATAGAAAGTCTTTAGACTAACAAAAAATATACTAATAAAATATATTTTAAAATTTTTCTTCCTTTTAAAAAAAAATTAAAACAAGACTAATTATCTAAAAATATAACCTTTTTTTTATTTTTAATTTCCTTAAAACGTATAAAAAGATAAAACAAAAGCTTTAAAAATATTTACCAACTAAAAAGTGGTGAAAAAGAAATTCAAATATGGTCAAAAATTAGGTGATCAGAACATGCCCCTATTTGCTTGGAAACATGAAGTGTTTTCAGGCAAAGAAATATGAGCGATGTGATTAATTTTTGTTCATACCATTATTCAAAAGGGAAGAGAGAAAAGAGTGCAACCGGGTCCTGGTTTTGGACGGCCTACATATCTCAGGTTATAAGGGAACCAGGTCGCGTGTAGTTCAAGGAAAATGATGGAATGCTGAGTTGGATAGTCGAGTGAGGTTCCGTTGAGGCTCCGGCCTGTAGTCGTATTTTTACATCAAAATCAAAAGAGAATAAACGAGCCTATCATCTATGAGTTACAAGATTCATATCTTTAAGTATTCTAAAACTTGATCTTGAGTCTTGACTGGTTATTCACGCAGACTCTGATCTGAACCTTGATGCTTGCTCGCTGCAGGTGCCAGTTTATTATTCTACGGCCTCTTCTGATGAAAACGGAAAATGCAATGCTCGTGACTTCAGTCATGTGTTGAGTAGTTCACATCTTTTCATCCGTTTCTGCATTCTGGATTCACTTCTTTTTGTTTTCTTTCCTTTATTTTGGATTGAGACTTCTTTTATTGGTCACCTCGAACTCGTGCATCGAGGTAAAATCTGTTTAGACACCAAAACAAACAAACGAATGAAATCTTTCTTCCCTAGTTTTCACTAGGAAAATTTAGTGAGTTATTTGTAACAAAACTCTATACTACTTTATTATTGAAAGCAATAAAAGGTCGGAATTGGTGTACCTTGAAAAAATATGATTTTTTGGGAATGGTGTGCCATGATTGTCTAAATAGTGCCTCAACTAAGGATTAGTGTACCTTATATTGGGAAAATGCGATGGGGAATATTGTACCCTGATACTGGTAAAGAGACTAAGGAGTGAAGACCCTATGTCTAAAAAATAAAAATCAACTAAGGAGTGGAGACCCTATGTCGGTAAATACAGCTAGGGATTGGTGTACCCTGATACTGGTGAGGAAAAGTAACCAGGAGTTGGTACTGTCACGTCCCAAACTACCCCCTTAGATATGATTGGCACCCAGCTAACACTACCCGCCAGGTGAACCAACTTATACCATACATTTAGCACTTATTCAAAATTCAACCGAAATAAATATAAATTCCTAACATTTCAATAATGAAATGCGAATGATTAGTGATCCAAATTGTTCTATAAATATTTATGAATAATAGTAACCAAAATGGAGGAACAACACTCTAGCCCAAATCTCACACTAGACCATGGAGCATCTAAGAGAATTACAAAAGGCTTATGATCGAGTGTGTCAACCCCAAAATAAAAGACATCGTATAAATAAATGATAAGGACTCTCTTGGCAGCCTCCAC